TCCATTTTCGATGAAATTCCATTTTCCTTTGATAATCTAAGAGTTTCGATCCATGCCCGCATCATATTTTTTCCTAAACTCCAACAAAAGATCCAGAAACTCCATGCAATCATTCAAATCACCAAGTTTCGTGAATGAGGATATTTGATAACAATCTCGATTAATAATATCCTCTCCGATTAGTATTGTTTGCGTTCTCCAGGATTTCATTCGCATTCTGAAATGTAACAGCTTCTGAGAACCTGGAGAATGATTTCTGGGAAATATCATTTCTTTTTTTCATTGATATTAGAATTCTTTTGCTAGCAGTATGGCATGATTATACGTGTATGCTTTGTTGATCTCCTCGTTCTGACCGTAAATGTGCACTCTATGAATTCTGTCCATCTGTCAATGGTACCATACCAATTGATCGCCACAGATCATAACAAAGTGACTGCCTTACTCATAATATTGATACATTCATTTACTTCTCACGTGTATGATTCGTGCGGTTGAGCGGTGGTGCGTAATATATGTTTATAAATGTTTTATTATGATATCATGATTTTAGTCGGTTCATGTATTTTGTGGTACAATTCGACTTTGCGCCTTAAATATTTCGAGTTCAAATGATCTTTCAATTTGTCATGACTATTATCATCGATGAAGATATAATAAAGTTAAGGTATAAAATTAAAATATATATTGTTTGATAGTTCGATGATTGCATAGATTAAGGAGAGCTATAATAAAGGGACGTGTTCTTCTTAAGAGTGGAGATAGGAAGAGTCATCCGGGCTCAATCTTTGAATTTAGTTTAAATGTTGAAATATGCTAACATTTGGTACAGTGTTAGTGATATCTTTGGAAATCATCGCCAACGCTATAGTAGCATAGAACGTTGATAACGTGTGCGAATAATCTATCAGTGTGTTATCAATAGGAATCGTATTGAACTGCATATGGTGAAAGCTGCGAATTAGTTATTTAATATTGTTGCAGACCTGCGTAGTTACGAAGCGAGCGAGCGAACAGACTACGGTAATGGTCATTGG